TCGGAAGATGATTAAAAATTCCTAAATAAAACTGCTTAAAAACCCGTTGGGCATTGTCAGATGTAAAATAGCAGAAGTAATACTGTTAATGTTCGTTGTCAAGTAGTAATAAAATATTTTAATATCTTTCAGGCGTTGTCGGGAGTTAAACAATGTACATTAACTGTTTGTTAGTATTTCAGTAATTATTGTCCTAAAATTTGGTGCGTGATAATATACCAAGTATTGACATATGGCTTTTAGGTACCACAGAATCAGAATGTCAATCGAAAATTAGTTACACAAGATTCACAGTGCTAGGAATATTATCTGAAAGCGTAACGTTATAAAACGGTCTGGGAGTGTAAGTATGGCTGTAGAGTTTTACAGGGAACTAAATACATTCAGTCGAGATAAAATGCTTGAGAATATGTTGAGTGGTATTTAGAAACACCAGAATAAGGAATCATAAAAGCAGGTCGAGTTTTGCAACGCGTTAATAAAGTAGAAGGAACGTCTTCAATGATGATACGTATATGTTGTAGAAATCTTTTACGACGAAAGAAGAAAACAAAATAGACACAAATATGGAAGGAGTCGAAATATTAAAAGATTGAACAAGATCGAACAAAGAATAAAAAAAACATAGAGCAGATGGAATTGGAAGAGAGATACTATAATCCTTAGACGGTTTTGGAATAGATAAAATGACAGAACTTCTTCAAGACATTGGCTATCATGACTCTCCACAATTTCCAGTCCTTTGTAGTTCTTTTTGCTATCTGTCCTAAACTTTGTTCTGCCATAAGCTCGTTAGATAGGTTATGTGCAGTTTTCCTTTGTTTCTCTTGACTTTAAAATGTGTGTCAGATTCTCCTAGCACTCTTTCCTCGTTATGTGTCCTAGAAATTTCAACTGTCTCTTTTCTATGTTAAGTATGTATCTATTTCATTGCTCACATGTTCAGTCCATGGTATTCCTAGAAACCTTCTGTAGAACGGCATTCCTACGGAACAAATGATACGAGTTTCATCGGTCAATCAGCTTAGTAAGTCACATAACATCTTATCATTCAGATTCCCTTGAATAGAGCGCGTAATATAAATAGATTGGAAATAAAACAAGTACAGAGTCGTTTCGTTAAAGATACTGGAACAAGGAATATAATATTTATCATGAGACTGATATCAGAGCGAGCTATTCAAATGCAGGATATAGATTTTACAGACTACGCAAAAGCAACCATGCGAATGTGGGACCCGCAGATCTATTTGGACTGTTATAAAAAAAAATACAAAACTGATATATTTCGGAAAGATATTAGAATAATCGAGACTATATACTCTGAGCAAACTGTCTGCATACAGTTACACAAAAATAGGAAAGGGTATAAGACAGAGGAATTATTTAACCTTGACATTGGGGCGATTCTAAGTCATACTAGGATTTATTAGTGGTAAGCACTATCTTAACAATATACGCAGATGATACCGTTGTGATAGCAGACAGAGAGAAAAAAAAGGAGGAACTCTTAGAAAAAATACCGAAGAACAGCTGGAAGAAATGACTATCAATTGTAATAACGTAGAAAATACCGAACTACGGATTGGAGATGTTCAAATCAAGCAAATACTGAAATAGAAATATCTTAGCAGTGTTTTAACAGAGGACGAAATATATGATACCGAAATTCAAAGGCGTATTGATAGAAGTAAAAGATACATTCCAACAACTAAACAAAGTATTATGAAATAGGAAAATTACGTTAGAAACAAAGAAAATATTTCTGAACTACTATGTAATATCATCCCTTCTACAAGGCAGTGATTGATGGATAATTTTTTCACAGAAAAAATAACGAAACTTCAAGCAACAGAAATGTAGTTCTACAAAATAATGCTGAGAATAACCTGGATGGAGCATGTGAGCAATGAGGAAGTTTTAAATGGAAACAAAAATACATTTAAAATCAGAAAGAAGCAGTTGTAATTACTAGGATATATAATGGAGGAAAAAGGCTGAGAAAATTTGACACTCACAGAACATAAGAGGGATTGAGGAACACTGAGCGTAACCCAACTAAGAAGGCATTGGTGCTCAATGTATATTGTTAAGATAGAGAAGAATATTAGAACAATTGCAAAGCTTTGTTAAAGATCATGCCAGATATACCATTGTAATTAAGTGAAGACAGTTTGACTAATATATTGTCGAGCGGTGTTGCTGGCCGTAAACAAGTATTTTGACCTAGAATAAAGCGTTGTTAGCAGTCTGAGTTGAAAAAGAAATGAGGAATTATAATGCAGTCGGACGAGGTTAAAAGATGTAATTACTTAGAACTTAGAAATCTACTTCAGTTTGTGTAATACACTGACGGACGTTGTGCGTTTTTTTTTGTCCGAATACAAGAACGTTCGATTGAATGTAAGGAAATGCCAGTAGTCATACCAAAGGATGCATAATGAAGCTAGACGATGTTAATCATTGTAAATTAGATAGCAATTAGAATAATTGTTCAAAATTTAATAAGATTTACTGAAGTCATTTGTTCCGATTTTGGGGCAGCTACTTAAATTTCTTAGGTGTCGCACAAGATAAAACAAATGAAAAGGCGTAATGCAGTTACATCATTTTAATCATTGTAAATTAGATAAATCTTATACCAAATGTTTAAAATTTAATTAGATTAACTGAAATCATTTTGCCTAATAGAGAGACTGGCGTTGTAGGCAGTGGTTGTTATTTACAGACAAAAGATTATTGGAGCACGGCTTTATTAGGTGTTATACTAGATAAATCAATCAAATGCAAAAGCTTAATCCAGTAATGATAATCATTGTAGAATACATAGATATTATCAGATTAAACGTTATTTTTTAGTGGATACTCATACTTGAGTAACATTCAGGCCGGTAGACGAAAATAAATAAATATACAGTTTAATAAATAAATGGAGTCTCTACTCATATATTTTGAATTATTGAAAATTAACTAAGTTTTACGGAAGGCAGTATGACAAATAAATAGTCGCGCGTTGTAGGGCGGTGTTTAGTGTTCACTGTAGAAAATATTTGGGACGGGTTCTGATTTCTTAGGGTTTACACAAGAAAACCAAATATTTTTATCTAATTATATTAGATGATGTTAATCTTAGTAAATTACATTATACAAACTCTTCAAATTAAATAAGATGTACTGAAGGAAGTGCAATTAATCGCGCGTAGTCGGACTGTGTTTAGTGTTGGGTGATTGAAAATATTAGGGAAGTGCTCTGATTTCTTAGAGATTTAACACCCCACCCAAAAATGATGCTAGTCTTACTAAATTACATTGAAAATTTACAAAATTCTTAAAATTAGACAAGATTTACTGAAGCCATTGAAACTAATATACAATCGCGCATTGCCAGGCGGGGTTTAGTGTTAGGTTAGCTGATAGAAAATATTTGAGAAGTAATTTGGTTTCTGAAGGTTTACAACAGAAAACCAAATAATTTATACTAATTCTATTAAAAGATGTTAAGCTTATAAATTACATTGAACTCTTACCAAATTCTTAAAATTAAATAAGATTTATTCGCAGTGAGTGCAACTAATACACAGACACCCGTCGTCGATTTTTTAGGGTATTCTGTAGAAAATATTTGCATAGGATACTTACTTTTTAGGTTTTACACTGAAAACAAAATAACTTGAAATAATCTTACTAAATTGCATTGAACATTTATCAAATTCTTGAAATGAGAGTTACTGAAGTCAGTGCGAATAACACGCAGTCGCTCATTGTCGGTCTGTGTTTACTTTTCGCGGTAGAAAAATTTTGGGAACAGCTGTAAGATGATGTTAATTTTATTACTTTTCAGGAAGCTTTAATAAAATTTTGTAAATTAAATAAGATTTATTGAAGAGAGTGAGACTAATACACAGCCGCGCGTTGTCGGGCGGCGTTTAGTGTTCACTACAGAATATATTTGGGAATGGCACTAATTTCTTAGAGATTTTACTCCAGAAAACCAAATAATTTCGATTACTTCTTTAGAATGGTGTTAATCTAATTATATTACGTTGAAATTTTACCAAATTCTTAAAATTAAATGAGCTTTACAGAAATGCAAGCAGTAGACATTCATGAGTTGTCGCGAGATCTTTAGTATTCGCAGAGAAAATATTTCGGATGAGCACTGATTTAAAAGGATATACACTGGAAAACCATATAATGTCGACTAATTATGTTAGATGATGTTAATCTTACTAAATTGCGAATTTTTGATGAAATCGGATGATGCTTACCTTTGTAGACACAACATATTTCAGGACCGTGATGAACCTTATAATAAATGTTTAAAGTTTGATTAGATTACCTTCTATATTGCTGGTTTTAACTGCCAGTGTTTTCTCTCCACAGCCATGAATATTTGAGGAATTCTAAGACTTTTCCCCCTCGCATGCCCTATAAAACGAATGAAAATATAAATAGTGCAGTCTAGTTTGGTTGTATCGTGGTAATTAAATAGATTTACTGGAGCCAGCTTTTATAATAGATTACCAGGAATTGCCGGGTAGTATTATTTTCTGCGTTCTTTTTTTTATTGATCATACCCAATAAATCCACTTGGACGATATTAGCCCCTAGTATATTATCCCACATATTTAAATTCTAATTTGATTCACGCAAGTCATATTTCCAAGCACATTGTTGGGCTGTGTTTTTGTCCTTACCGAAGAAGGTTCGACCCAGTCCAAATTATTTTAATCGTCGTAAGAGACCAAAAACGGATGAGTTACCCGTTTTAATTAGACTTATTCCCAAATTATAACATGTAATTAGATTTACTGATGACACTATGTGTAACACCTTGTTTGGCTTTGGCATGCAGGGTTTGTTGTCCATAGATGTGAATGTTCAAATTTTCCAAGAATTACTTACTTTATATATATTTTAACTACTGATCATTATTCTTTTTATTTTATTTCATATAGATGAACTTAGTTTGTGATCGAAAAAACTTGGCAACATTTGTCATGACTGCCCACTTTCTTGGAATGACCGTTGGTAGTTTGCCATCTGGATGGCTCGCAGACCGGTAAGTTCAAAAATCAGAGCCAGTAGACCTATTGTTATGTAACGGTTATCTTGGGAAATGAAATAGAACTTGTCGGTTGAGTTACGTAGTTAAACAACCAAAGTTGGGCAACGTTGATCCTGCTAAAATATTATAATATTGGATACTTCGTTTTTTAAAAAGTTTGAATACTATAATAACGTTTGAAGTAATACAAATGTCAAATCAAGAATAAATCCATTGAGTCTTTATATTTCTCTGTCTGTCTGTCTCTCTCTCTTTCTATATATATATATGAAGATGATAAATATATCTTTTAAGGTATGTTATATGTATGTGTTGAAGTGCTTAATATCAGATACAGCATGTGTGAGTATAAAAGTGGCCACTGAAATTGCTATCAAACTTTCGCCACTCAGTGTTCACCTCAACTACTTTTATAGTCACACGGACACACACACACACACACACACACACACACTATATATATATATATATATATATATATATATATATATATATATATATATATATATATATAATCACATCTTTAAGCAGTCATTCCATTATTTTTTGTATGGACGCCTGAAAACAGATATGGACAGTTCTAAATAAATGATGATGAAAACTCTCACTCTACTGTAATATTTCGAATAAAATTAGAAATCATAATAAATTTAGCTGCATTTTCTTCTTCAATTAAATATTATACGCTGCAATTCCACGTGAGTCTTGCTCAAGTTAATCCCTCAACAAATTTTTATCTAAATTTCTAACCAATAATAACCATTCTGCAATATGCTGTATATAGTTTTATAAATTTAGTTAATTAATGAAATCAATATTTTTGGACGTATTTTGTACAAAATCATTTTCTGGTAAACTCTTCTTTTTTCATTCTTCTGTTTGCTTTTCATTACAGTTTCGGACGCAAAACTATAATCATCAGTGGAGTTGTGCTGCAAGGAATTAGTTGTTTGTCTCTTTCACAAATGCAGAACATCTACGCCATTTTGTCACTGAGATTTTTGGCGGCCGTGGCTGATTCGGGTGTAGTGATTCCTTCGGCTGTTTTTGGTACGCGTCTCTCCTCTTTTAAAAAAAAATTATTCACTGCTACACACGAAAGATCATAACACAAATTACTACTTCAAATATTAAAGAAGAAAATTAGTAATTTTCCTTTATTAAAACTCTCAAATGTTCAGATAAGCAGATATTGTTTGTACAGTCCAGTAGGCGTTGAATATCCAGTTCAGAAGACTTTGAATATCCTGCTCAATTGACTTTGAATGCCTAGATGCATAGACATTGAAAGTCCAGACAAGTAGTCACTGAATACCTTGGCAAGTAGTTGATGAATACTTTAGCTAATAGACGTTGAATACCGAGTCCAGTAGTCGTTGAATGCTTTGGCCAATAGACATTGAATACCTTGACTAGTAGACGTTGAATGCTCAGTCCAATAGTCTTTGCATGCTCTTGGCCAGAAAATGTTGAATACCCAGGTCAGTAGCCGTTGAATGTTTTTTCCAGCAGATCTTGAATACCCAGACTAATATACGTTGAATGCTCTGAGCCAGAAGATGTTGAATACCCAGGCCAATGGTCGTTGAATACCCTTGGCCAGAAAACGTTGAATACCTAGGCTAGTAGTTGTTGAATACTTTGGTCAGTAGACGTTGAATGCCTTGGAGAGCAGAATTTGAGTGCTAAGGCCTGTAGACATTGAATTTCCAGTTCCCATGTCCGTGGCCAGCGAACATCGAATGCTCAGGCCACCAGACATTGAATTCCCTTGGCCAGCAGATGTTGAATGCCCAGGAATATATGGAATGCCAGAAAACATTGAATTCCCAGCTCAGTAGTCGATGAATACCTTGGTAAGTAGACGTTGAATGATCTAGCCACGAGATGTTAATTATCACTGCTTATAAAATGTCAACTTAAAAATGTGTAACCACTCAATAGAACATTTTTATCAAAAAGAACTGATTTCTATATAAATGTTTCAAATGCATTTCCATAGTAAAATCATAATAATAATATGTTTGACATATCATAACTGTCCTCTATCAGTAAATTTTACATTAATTTCTGGTCACTGACAATCCTGATTTCTTCCTGAAATACAATGCAATTCTATAGTAAAATAAACAAAATCTATAGCAAAAGGATTAGAAATGTATTTATATTATATTGGCTTTATTCTCTCACTAATAACTTGAATATTTCCATAAGCTAAGTTCCGGCAGATATTCAACATCAAATGGCAAGACAGGCAAACCAACGACGACGTACTCAATTGCTTAGAAATGCCGAGCATTGAATCTGTCATCATTAAGTATCGCCTTATGTTGTTAAGACATGTTAGCCTAAGGTTCCCTCCAAGACTCCTACGAACAATCATTTACTTTTCAAAGGCAAACGACAACGCGTGGCCCTAAAACGCAAATTCATAAACAAACTGAAATCTTCTCTCTTTCAAGTTAGAAAACAGCCCTACCCCCTGGGAAACAGAAACCACCGACCGCCCATCCCTGCGAAGAGCAATTCATTTCGGTTATTCCACTTTTGCGGAGAGGAAAAAAAAACTGAAGAGGAAGTAAAAAGAAGGCAACAAAAGGACCGGTAGGTCCAGCCAAGATCATTATCCGTCCTATGTGATCAATGCCCAAGACTGTTCCATTCTCTACTTGGCATCCAAAGCCATGACGTTTTCACGCATCGTGGAGGGACCGAATAGACCAAACACTGACACAAACGGTACCAACGATCTATTTTAGATAATGACCAACTAAGCTCGTTTTCAGGCATTTACAATCCATCTCTTTAGTAGAAAATTGCCGTAATATGATAATTATACATATAATAATACTGCTTTGTTAATAACTCTTTAATAAATCCCTTCCACAAGCGAGAAGTGCGAGAGGGTAAACTGTTAGCATAGAATTGACGGCTACATCTAGCCAGTTTAACTGTTAATTGATGAGATCTCAATGCCGGTTTACTACTACGCTTAAATTTTTTAAAAAAGTACTATAGCGAAGAGATCATCCCTCACAATTGCCATGAAAATAATTATAGAAAAGATACGGGGAGGTAACCTTACGGCCGTGGGAAAGTGACTGAAGTCGAGACGCCAATATTGCTGATTCTTCTTATATATATATATATATATATATATATATATATATATATATATATATGTATATCCGATACGATGAGAACGAAAGTAATATATAAATTCCAACGTTCACAGCATTAATCCCAAAAAGGGCTCGATACCGATAGTAGAGCGATAATTATTTATTTATTATAATTTTATCATATAGACAAAACCATTTTTATTTACTACATAAATGCAACTTCGTTTCAGTGAATTTCAACTGCACTTCGACGGGTGAGAATCGAAAATGGTTATGAACAATCCTATTTGTAGGAAAGTCGTATGTGAAACGTCACTTCCTTTTTCCATTTGTTTGAGAAGAAAAAATATACATAAAGCAAAAAAGGTGACGAAATGAAACAATAGTGCTTGTTGATAGTTGTTTGGTGAAGAATGGATGAGGTGTTGAATGTTGGCTGGTCTGTGGAGATTTTTTTCTTACTGATAAACACCGGTCACAAGCGCCCTAAGAGTGAGAAGTAGAGGAGGAAAGGTGGAAATAGAGGATAGTAATATGTTGGAGTAGGTAAAATTCTAGCGATAGTTCTAGTAGCAATTGGGAATGTTATTTTTGGTTTACTATAAAAAAAAAGTCTAGAGCTGAATTACATATATTTATGTTAGGGTTATCACTAGTAATTCTATAATCAATGAAAGTGTTTTGTAAATTAATAAATTTAGAAGTGGTGATTTCCTCTGAAAAAAAAAGCGATAGTAATATAACTTTTTATAATCAAATTTTGAAATATTCCTGGACAGTATAGTGTTTAGAATAAGTATGGGTGTAAAACAATTTATCTGAAAATATTACTAGTAACATATATATGAAAAAAAAATTTTTAAGAATCATAATCTAATTAGTGGAGAGGTACATAAGAGGGTAGGGAATATATCAAAGAAGGTGATTTATAATTTTAAAACGTTTATAGTTATGGAATTAAGAATTTAACAATATTGTAGGGTTAAATCCTTAGTATGTCTACAAAAAACGGTGGTTTCATATCTATCTATCTATCTCCCTCTCTCTCTCTCTCTATATATATATATATATATATATATATATATATATATATATGTGTGTATATATATATATATATATATATATATGTGTGTATATATATATATATATATATATATATATATATATATATTATTCATTTATGTTTTTCACTTTTATTCAGGAGCGGAGATCTCGTCGAAAGAAGGGAGGAAAGAAGCTGCAATTGCTTTGCATTTTTCATACGCCGTAGGTTGCCTTATTACTTCCCTATTTGCATATTTAATCAGGAATTGGTCACTTCTTCTCCTCGTCTTATCCATTCAGTCGCTACCAATGGTCTTTATCTATATCTGGTAAGTTTTTACGAATTGTATTAGACTGAAAAAAATGCACCAAGTTCCATTATTGGCACAATTTTAAGGAAATCCGAGAGATTTATTGGAAGTTTACTCATCTCTTTATTGCATATGCGATCATCATTCGCGGAAAAAAATGAAAATCTTACTTTAACTTGGTGAAAATCTTGGCCGAATAAAATACACATTTTCAATACTGTTCATTCTACGTGTTTTAACCTGAAGTGAAGCCAAAAATGGAGACTTTGAAATGAGTAACTGGAGACAATGATAATAATGCTGAAAGTGCAAGAATGTGGCATGTATAGATTGAACATTTCAAAAAGTAAATTTTGCGTTCAAAGAAAAGACTTAAGGATTTAAAACATCACAAACTGGATGAACTTCGAAATGAAAAAATCCAATATTTGAAATTAACGAAAACTTAAAAATGAATCGGTCAACGAATAATAATTTATAATATTTTTGACTTGATTCTTTACATGACAATATCCATACTCGTTGAAAATACGACTCCACAAGCAAACATTGATTTGGGACATGGATTTCTCACACATGTAATTTATTCTCCAGATATACTCTTCCAAACATTCACCATCAATAATCAGCGGATACAACAATCAATTAACAGCAGGCTTTCCGACAATTCTCCCAGTGAAATAATCTGCAACGAGGCCAAGAAAGACTATGAAACAGCCTAAAATATAGTGGATTCCCGGCAACACTCACATGCACACCACACAGGAAAAGAAAACCAGTAGGAAAATAAACATCATATGGCTCAATCCACCGTACAACAAAAACGTAAAAACATAGGAAAATAATAATTAAACTCATACACAAACACTTTCCCGCATCAATCACTCTCCACAAGGTATTCAACAAAAAACACAGTAAAAATCAGCTGCATTTGCACCGAGAATATGGCACAAAAGAACAACAGGAAAATAACCACCAGACCACTAACTAAACTCACATGTAACTGCTTAACAAAGGAGTGTCCATTAAACCACAATTGCTTGCAGAACAAATACTAAGCCACTGTAAAATCAGAAGATTACGAAGGGAAAATATATAGGAGTAATTGAAGGACACTGGAAACAAATAACTACACACACAAACATACTTTACCAAAAGTAAATACACGAACAGCACAATGCTTTCAAAAGATATCTGGGAGATTAAAAACAAAAAAACAAATCACTTCAAAAATATCATGGAAAATAAGGAAAACAGCATCGGCCGGCAACAATAAATCCCCAAAACTGTAAACTCTGACTGTAAGTAAAAATAGCTATAATTACCTTCCCAGACCAAAAAAAAAAAAAAAAACTACTAAATAAATGATCAGAACTCATCTCAAACTACAGACACGAAAACAAATTTATATAACGTTACATAAAAATCGAAAACTAAAAACGAACAAGAATAAGCAAAAATAAATAAATAAAATAAATTAAATGAACAAAAATAAGTAAAATAAATTAATTCAAACAAATAAATAAGTAAATAAACGAAATAATAAATAAACAAACCACGTACGCACAGATAAACACAAGAAAATGTAGTAATAACAATCAACAATGAAATAATCAATAATAAATAAATGAAGTTAACAAACAATACTATAAATGACCAAGAAACTGCATTCGAATTCACAATTATTCCCACTCAATAACCCTAGAATATTTCGAAATAAAACGGTTACCTCTCACCAAAATATCCGTTAGAATACTAAAATAGACTAACACAGAGCAACACGGTAGACTACCCACAATGCATCACTAACCTGTATATATAAATAGTCGAGTAGACATACAGCAAAATGGCCTGACGATTGCATTTAGTATGAAAGAGACTGTTATTTCTGGGTGTTGACTTCAATGTCCAGTTTTATATCTACATACGCTCTATCCCTGATAAGAAACACTTTCACCTATAAATATAGCATACATTAAAACTATATATATATATATATATATTTATATAAAAGTGAACATAGAAGTCAACACTTAGAGGCGACAGTCTGTTTCATGCTATATGCAATCGTCAGGCCACTGAAAGCATGAAGCATGAAAACAGACTGTCGCCTCTAAGTGTTGACTTTATGTTCACTTTTATATTTACACACTCTATCTCTGATATTGAGCACTTTATCCCATAAATATAGCACACCTTAAGACTATATTTCTTTATATATATTTATATATATATATATATATATATATATATATATATATATATATATGTGTGTGTGTGTGTGTGTGTGTGTGTGTGTGTAGTGTATGTGTGTTTATATCAGCCTTTTAGCTATAAGGGAACATTCGTCATTCTTTGACAAAGCAAACAGTTCTACTTTGTCTGAAATTTATAGGATGTTTCACTTCAGAGATTTGGAAGAAAGTAGAAAGTAGCTTAATTCAATCCACTATTTGTAAGTCATCTTTTCAATATTAATGCAGGATTTCTTCATTATTTTTTGTTTGAAGTAGTTTAAAAAAAACTCCACATCCTGATTTATGTCACTGTTGATGTTGTTGAAAGTCCTTAAGTGATGTGGTTTCAGTTATTTGACACATTTTGTTTGTGATTCTGTAGCTACAGTCCACAAGCTTCGAAAGGTTCTCGATATGACCTACATGCTTCATCCGTACGTAGCCATTTCTAACTATTGTGTATAACTGTATTGTATCGTGTCATATATATATATATATATATATATATATATATATATATATATATATATATATATATATATATATATAAAAGTGAATATAGAAGTCAACACTTAGAGGCGACAGTCTGTTTCATGCTATATGCAATCGTCAGATTTACACACGCTCTATCTCTGATATTGACCACTTTATTCCATAAATATAGCACACCTTAAGACTATATTTCTTTATATATATATATATATATATATATATATATATATATATATATATATATGTGTGTGTGTGTGTGTGTGTGTGTGTCAGTGGACACTGAAGTCAGTACCTAGTGGCAATCGTCAAGACTAACGATTCTGTATCATCATGAACCAGACTGTCGCCGCTGAGTGTTGACATGAATGTCCACTTTTGTATTTACATACACTCTATCCTTGATATTGAGCATTTAACCCATAAATATAGCATACCTTTTTAAACTATATTTTATCATATATATATATATATATATATATATATATATATATATATATATATATGCGTGTGTGTAAATATGTTTTAAATCCAGTTGCTTTTAAATATATTTTAATTCTACATTAAAAAATATAACGCATATTTTAAAATTTTTCATATATATATATATATATATATATATATATATATATATATATATATATATATATATGCATGTGTGTATGCGTGCGCGTGTATGTTTCACTCCTGTTGTTTTTTGAAATATATTTTCAAATGTGAATTCAACTATGTATTCAAAAAGAGTAGTACTGCAGTATTTAATTTTATATGATTTCCACTCTATTGCATCTTTTCCTGAGATTCGACATTACAATCTATTCGTTAATTCCTCTATGGCTATTTCCACGAAAAATCACTTCCCCAGACTCAAATCACCCACGTGTCTTCCATATTCCAAACTTAAGAAGAAAATTTAACTCCGACAGCTTTTTCCATTTTACTCAAGAATTGCAAATTGTGGACACTTCAATATTAATCACTTCAAGTAAATACTCTACTTTTATCTTTCCCCTTTATACTCATAATCTTCTATCACCTTTTTTCCATTAAGGGGCTTACGGCCATATCAGGTTGAAACACCGTCGAAGTTAAGCAACGTCGAGACTGCTCAGTACCTAGATTGGTGACCACTTGGTGCTGTAAGCTTGAATATGCAGGTGGTGGAATTGTTAATCAGATTGCCGAATTCCAATTCCCTTTTTACTCGTCATATTCTCTTAAGCACAAATAACTTTGAGAAATTTATGAATTCAAACCGTTTCCACTCAACTATGAGTTAACTAGTAAAAGTTGTATCACTAAACTATTATTATCTCCAAAAATTCTTAAACTTTAAAAATATTTTCTGTCTTTAAATAACCCACAAGAGGTTGATAAATCGTAGAAAACAAATCAATCTTCAGTTCATATCACATCATTTTGGTTACTTTGCAACTACGACCAACACAACACAGCATGAGATATGTCCATATCCTTAACATTTTTTAAATTAAGGTTCAATTAAAACTTGGTTTAATTCATCATTACCATTTTTACTGTACCTGCCTTAATCGAGTGCCTCTCCTGACTTTTATTGAGCGATATTTAGTATGAAAATGTCTTCTGCTTTGTCGGTCTTTTTTGACTAAGAAAATTTGAACTACAAAGTGGGATATATCGAGGGACGACTGAATGTAGATGTAGAGGATATCCATAATCGGCTACTTGATATATATTAAATTATTTTTGCTCTTTAATTAAACACGAATTTTATATTGAAAAGTATCATAAGATTTTTTTTTTTTACAGGTTCGTGCCGGAGTCACCACGTTGGTTGCTGGCTATGAAGAAATACAAATCCGCAGAGAAAGTTTTTAAAAAAATGGCGAAAATGAACAAGAGTGACTTCATCTATAATCCGGAACAGGAAGTAGAAATATCTGATAACAATAGTAAAAGGACAGTTAAACTATGGAAAATGTTTACCATTCCGGCTCTCCTGAAGCGAACACTAGTTATGATGTTCAATTGGTAAAATAATTATTTCCGTTCATGTAGTTGTCTTTATAATTATTTACTATAATTTACTTAACGTGGGGGCTTGGCAACTATGATGGTATTCTGAGACAGGATGGAACTCAAAGAATTTATAAATTTATGCGATAGTAACGTGCTGCTTTTTAATCTAGGGACAGGATATCTTTTTATTCTTCACCTTGTTTTAGTTTGCTACAATATCATAATATAGTGGCGCTAGTAATGATTGCTCTCCTCACAGTCTATATTATCAAAGAGCTCAATTACTTTCCGCCTCAATCTGAAGAGGCATTGAAATAGCTAAAGATGCCTTCGAAAGTATTAAGAATATGAAAATTTTGTCATAAACGAAGAAAATATTAATGAAATTGTAATATAAAAGAATTCTGGAAAAGTTCCTCCCAGTTGAAGAGAGGATTTGAGGCAAGATAGATGTCATTCTACAGAATAATGTTGGATGCATGTAAGTATAGGGGAAGTTTTAAGAAGATTAGGATATAAAAGAAAACTTAGATACATAAAAATTCCGTTGAAATTTATTGGATCCATAATAATAACAGAGGGGATGAAGTATTTAACACGCATGTCATTTTACTAAGGGCAAGAGGGACAGTGTGTAACCTACGTAACAAACGTTTATTTTATAATGTATAAAGTATTAGAAGTTATGGAGAACTATGATCAACAATATACTGAAGCGACACGGCACACAGAAGAAAATGATGTATGCGCGCACTCATACAATCTCACTTCACTGTTTTTCTTCACTGGTAGCAAAACTCTGAGTTTTATCATGCACGATGCAATATTCAATTGGTGACTGAAATAATTTTTAATCCGTACTTGACGATTGCATGAATGAGTGCACTAAACAACAGAGTCTCGCTACACAAAAACAACATGGAATTCAAAGACAGCAGAAAACCTTTTATGTAGCAACACATCCACAAATGCAACAAGGGTAACTTTAGAATTATGTCAATATATCAAACAGGCCTTTACTCTTACCATGAGTTATACAAGAAAAAAATCCCCCCAAAACAAAAAAAAAACTTTAAAGACAAATTTAAACCAGCACTAAATAAATCATAATCAAAGACACATAAATACACACCATATACACACAATGGTAAAACACACTAGTAGGACCATATATACAGAAACACATACAAAATACATGTATTTACTATATATGTTTCCTCATAATAACATAATATGTATGCAGAACGAATATATAGTCACATAATTGCAAAAGCAAACATGGTAGCAGGACCACACGCATACACACACACACATGCACACTCGTGCCCTACTCACCATACAAAATGTATATATATATATATATATATATATATATATATATATATATACTATATAGTTTTCCTTGTAATAATACAGTATGGAGAAAGAATATATATATATATACACATACTGGAAAAACACACATATACCCAATACACAAGTATAGAGGAAGAAATACATCTTGAAAAGATACACGGGGTCATAAAAAGAATAGAACAAAGTCATTCTCCATTCTTTTCCTTTCCTTGACCAAATTTAATTGTTTTATTACTCTTAAAGAAAACATTTTCGGACAGTCCAAGATGGATTCAGATGACCACTACTACACACAAAAGATAATGGTTAAAAGATTTAACATAGAAAGAAAAACTTAATTTCTTTAAATAATATGTGGAAATAACCATTCTTCGCCTGATGAAGGTCACAAGACCCGAAACACCTCTAGCGAAATATATAGAATATAGTATATAAAAAAATGTATATCATAATCAAAAACGTTTGGGGCTTTTTCTCTCTTTAAAATATACCCTTTCCTTACAACAATAATCTCTCCTTTATATATATATATATATATATATATATATATATATATATATATATATATATATATATATAAATTAATATATATTAATAAAATATATTAAGTAAAAGCTTGTCTGTCGTTTTAATGTTTTTATATATAATATATATATATATATATATATATATATATATATATATGCATGCCACTAGCAGTAGAGCCAGCGTAAAACAGTAAGAGATAAATCAAGTATCCACCATCATAAAAGATTGAAAATAAAATTGACAAAGATTATTGTTTAAGGTTGACGGACACGCATGTCTTAATTAGTTTTTTTTTTTTTACGAATTGATCAAACCCAAACTCAAACAAAAACATTGTTTTCAATCGTTATGAGTCTCTACCGATTGAATAGAATTTTATTATAAACAATTGTCTTGTAAATGGAATTTTTAAAGCATTCTGAATGTAAAAATAAAGAAAAAAGTGTGCAAGACAATAAGAAACACTACATGCCAAAAAAAAGAGTGAAGTTTTGTTTTATCGGCTGAAAAATATAGGAAATCCGATCCCATATTTAAAGGAACCCACACACACAAACAAACCGATGTGAGTTGTCCCCCTTCCATTTTCTTAATCGTGTTTTCAAATTGATTTTGTGCAAAAACAATTATATTTTTCCCATTTTTGGCGCTGTTAGAACCACCACAAAAGGTAATTTTATGTAGTCCTGTGAAGTTTTGTTGAAATCGGTTGAAAAAATGTACGAATCCGATCCAATATATAAACGTTACACACACACACACACACACACACACACACACACACACACACACACACACAATCTGCGTTTTATAATAAGTAAGATTTCAACCACCTGATGAATATTCATGATTGTTCTCAAAATTAAAGCCTTGATTAAACAATGGAATCCTTGCTCTCGTATATAAATACGTCCAACAAAATAAATCCTACATTTGCCTTGATAAAGTCCCTAAGATGACAAAAAGCGTTTTAAATCTTGTTTTTCTAGTTGTCTTTATTTGGTAAAAGTTTGAATTTTCCCATTTTCTGCAAAGTCTGCATGCATATAGTCCTATTAAGATTTCAGTGGACTTTCTACTATACAACAAAATCTGTCTACAACGTCGGCGTTAATTAATGCGTTATCTTTTCATATAAACTCATCACCCTCTGACAAAATATCAGTTAACGTTAACATTTTACATTTAACCTATGTCCTCATCTTTTCTATTGTAACCTAACTGAAAAAACAGTTTTTCAAATAAAACAAACAATCACTTACATGTTACTGACATAGAAGGTCAGAACCTGAGATTAAAACTAACCTTTTTATCAATAATTCTTATGATCACTTGCAACTTTAGCTCTGAGATAAGAAACGTAACCAGCTTGTCATTTCTATTGCGAGTAGAAATCTCCTGTTGCTTGTTAATCCAAATTCAAATTACCGAAAATGCACTTTCCTCATTAGACGCATATACACGCTGTCTGAAGAGGAACTTCGACGCGGTGTAATGATTAGCAAGTTGTCTCGCTGGATCAATTATGATTGAAAAATGAGTTCGATCAACACTGGGTGTCTCTTAACTTCGGCCTTGTGCCACATCTAAGCTACGCTTACAAAACAACTAGCCATACATACATACACACACACACACACACACACACACACACACACACACACATATATATATATAATCGACTCTCCCGTCGCGTTCGACGTATGAGGGTCAGGCCGATAAGTCCCCAGGAAACCGACATCCCGACACCGGCACATGAGATTTGATTATAGTGGTGAAGGTCTCGTGCAGGACCAACCAAACTTTTTGGAGGGACGAATACAGAAACCTGGTGCACCGAATGCATGCCACAAGGTTCCCAAACGACCCTCCGCAGGTTTTGAATTCAGAGTTGTCCTTCTCCTAGACCAGTTGCCATCCAAGGCTATAGAACCCAGTCTGTCCTGTTTATTTTTACCCATAGCTGGAGGGAGATGAAAGGATACATACCTTTCCCAAAGGGTATTAGCACGTAAGTGAATGTAATGGATTGACTGGAATTCGTTCTCGGCGCTGCGATTCCTCAATCCAAGCTGCTATCCACTGCTCCACCGTGCTCCACCGTGTTCCTTCTCATAAGTCAACATAATATATATATATATATATATATATATATATATATATATATATATATATATATATATATATATATATATATATATATATATATATATATTAATGGCTGTTTCATTAAATAATATAGACAAATTTTGTCTATGTATTTTAAGAAAAACAATGATGACTAGTACATTACAATAAATTAAACAACACACGGACATACCAATAATGATAGTCTGTTTTGTTTGCATGGAAAATGGCTCCAGTGGCTCGTATGCACGAGTCTGTCGTTGCTTGGAAATCTTCCATGTAAACAAAACAGACTATCAGTGTTGCTATGTGTCTATATTGTTTAATATGGTGACAGTTTGTTTCATGCTTGAACGTAATTTTCAGGCCATTATATATATAGTTATTCCCCAAAAAATTCGCTTGAAGATGGAACAGAGCTTAGTACTTTAATTCAATTTAATTCAAATAATTATATTGAAGTTTTCGGCTCTTGTTTTGAAACATGAGGACTCTTATGTAGCGTTGGAATCATATTTTTAAATTCATTATATATATATATATATATATATATATATATATATATATATGTATGTATGTATGCATGTGTGTGTGTTTTCTCACTAGGATGCAGCTCGCGAAAGGCATTAATCGTTAATCAGTGTTGTTCTTATAGCAAGGTAACACAAAATCATCTTCTCATGAAACTTATATTTAAACTCTTCCATTCAGCCACAGAACGTTACTCTGTACCGCTTAAACACTATTCTTGGTGGTCTTTTGTTGCATATATATATATATATATATATATATATATATATATATATATATATACTGAAATGTTATGCCCCTTCAGCATGGAGGATATTATGAGTTTCATTTTGATTCTGTTTATTTCTCCAATTATTCAGGCCCGCAGTAAGTTTTGTGTACTATGGATTAACTATGAATACTGGTAACCTGTCCGGCAATATCTACATGAATTTCTTTTTCAATACTTTCGTTGAGTTTCCCGCTTACATCCTGTGCGTCCTGCTTTTAAACCGCATCGGACGGAAGAAGTTGTACTCTTCATTCATGATTATGGGAGGCATAACCGGCTCGATGGTTTTACTTCCAGCTCTTTACGCACCGAAACGTAAGACATTCGTTTCATTCAAATTTTTTCATTCCTTTTGTTCCTTCTCATTGCTTACACATAATTTATCATAATTTATATCAATGACAACATAAAGGCTGTAGATTTCACCCATTACTCCCTTTTATGAACATAGATGCACAAAACGTTTGCCCCTAAGCGACACACCCAAATGGTTAAGGTCAGGCAACTGATAAGAAAATATGTAGGACTGGAAGGGATATTTACTCAAAGCCATCTTAATTCACCAAAACAAAACATATACATGTTAAAACTCCAATCAGTTAAGATCAAAAGTCATGCCTTGTGATTAATTATTATTATTATTATTATTATTATTATTATTATTATTATTGCTGAGTGATAGACCAACACGCCAACAATGTGACGATGGTGTCCAAATATACTTAGCTCAATCATGACACAAATATGAGTACAAAAGGTCCATGCATCGCAACAAAACATGCATAATATGGTGACAAGCAATGTTATGCGCTGTTTTTATCACAAGCTGCAGGTTAGAAATGCATTAAATATCGGGAAACACAGTCAGCTGAGACGGTTTTCGATTGAGGGTGAATTGTTTTGACAACATACTTCAAAGTATTTAAACCCAAGCATCATATACGCAGCTACTACTCCTATTATTATTATTATTATTATTATTATTGTTTCCTTTGCTTTCTGGTATATACCCATTTCTTTCCTGGACTCAACCAGAGACACAAGGTCAGAAATGGCATCATGAAATTTTTCACTGAGCAATTTTGAAAAAAAAAATTACATATATAAAGCCCTTCATAAGGTGTGAGCTGTTCTTGTGAGTACAGATTTTTGTATTTCTTTAAGGCATGGGCTACCAGGGATTTATTCAATAAGTCTATTGGAATCTTTCCAATCAATCCGAGGGCTCCAACTATAACTGGAATTGTAAATGTTCTCATGCGCCACATTTTTGAGATTTCGAATTCAAGGTCATAGCATTTTCATAGTTTTTTTTTGAATATCTTCAAAGATACATTGCAGTCTGCAGTGACTGCAACCATGTCAATAAAGAGACACATTTTGTCTTTGTGGTCTCTAATCACGATATCAGGGCGATTAGCTTTAATTATTCTGTGTGTGTGTGTTGTAAAGATTGTTTTGTCAGTGTATATTCTAAAGTTATTATTATTATTATTTCTTTCGTTTTTAGGAATCTCATTAATTTCTACATAAATAATTCTAAAACTTGCAACAATTATTTTCTGCTATTGTCTTGCATAAGCCATATCCAATTAGGATCTGTTAATAGTGTTTTGTTTTGTTTTTTCTTTTTAATAATGTAGTCTCTCTCGCATCCCGACATAAAATAACCCACGTCTTCAGTAAGTTTAGAATAACAGAATGTTAACTTGTATCTTTCATTTTTCTTTAATTTCTTAACATTTTTAAGAAAATTAAGGTCAAAGAAGAAACAGTCAGCATAACTGACGTATAATTTTTAATTTTTTTCCTACGCGTGTAAGCTTCGCACCTATGTTGTTTATTTTGTAGTCATTTGGGTCTTTATTCTGTCGGTAATCTGTATTTAATTTATATAAGAATAATTATTCATTACAGATCTTCAGTGGACGGTGACAGTTCTGGCCATGTTAAGCAGATTGTGTGCCACGGGGACATTTACTGTCATATTTCTGTACACCTGTGAACTTTATCCGACTTGTATCCGAAATGCCACACTTGGGGCCATGTCTACAATTGGAAGAATAGGGGCTGCCATTTGTCCATATGTTCTCAGACTGGTACGTAATATTTCATTATACAATGTATTAAGCTAAATTAGAAAGTTAGAACTAAGCTGGTCTGTTCTATCCAAAAAATCATATTCGCCAACCGATTATCACATTTTCTAATCACTGCAAGAGGCTTTGATGGGGGAGAATTCTCTAATGAAAACAACATTCAAAAGTTTCTTAAACATTTTTTCACATTAAAACCTGCGAAAGTTTACTCAAAAGTTACCGGAAAGTTGCATGGTGTGTGGCAACAGGTCTTAACAAATAATTGTAAATTTTTTTTTACTTTTTAAAAGAATAAGCATTAAACGAATAAACTTTAAAAACAAAAACTGAAATTATTTCTTACTCATCTTTATATTTTAAAATCTATGACGATGATACAATAGTATATGGATGCACCTCCAAAACTCTCGATGGTCAGAACCTGGCAGTTGATCTCTCTTCTGACATAACTTTAACAACTTAATAGTAGTGGGGACTGTTTGGTCACATTTAATACTCAAAAACTAAACCCATAACGTCACCGAGCCTACCTAAATGAACAGGTTTGTAGTAAGAGATCTATTTGACATCCTGTCAAGTAGGCCTCTTGCTTATTGGATCAAGTGGATCTCGTGTATACGATCCATCAATAAAGAGGCTGAGTACCTGTTTCCTCCTACTATACTCAACATTTACAAGAGGCAGATGAGGCCGAAAATGGAGTACTAATGTCATATCTGGGCTGAAGGTGTCCAGTCTTTACTTTCCAGTTTTCATAGAGTAAAAAAACAAAAACAAAAAACATCTACACGGCCTTGTGGGTGATGAGTTATTTTGAATACTACAAACCCTTTCCCACTATTTCAATGAAAAACGTGTTACATTCCTTAGTTCTTTCTACTCTAACCCTCCCAGAAAACATCCGCAACGCTGCGTACATTAAGGCGAGTTGAACCCCTTTCTCTTCTTCTTCCTTGAATAAGGTGTAAGTTCCATTTGGATAGCTACTTCCCAAGAAATGTTGCTTTGTCAAAACTAAATCCCAGGTGGGCATTTTCCGACAACTATAATATTAATTTTTTCTAATTTGGGGTTAACCTTTATCTTTCACACATATCCACATAAAATGTATCCTTTACTCTTACCGCACGCATAACCGCCACCGTCATTAACAATCTCCTTTGTACGGGGCGAGCATTAGCAATACAAAAACACAATAGCTTAAAGAATTGAATTGACAAAATTATACATTGAGCTATTCAAACTCGTATTTTAACATTGATTTTTATAATCACATCGTTTTCGACGTGAGAATCTTTTTTTATTTAATAAAGTTATACATTTAGAAATTCTTGATAAAATCTAAAGAAGAATCTGCAATATTATTGGCCATGATCTGGCATCTTAACTTGCGCCGTAACGTAGCTTCCTGTGCCTTTTCTATAAATATTTTTTGTGATGTCAACGAACACTCATTGCCACTTTTGTAATGCCAGCGAATATTCGTTGTCACTTTTGTAATGCTCGTTGTAATAGAGACTTTGTAATCGGCGATACAACTATAGTAACGCCGTTGAACAATGCAGGTGTCAGACGCCTTCGAATGACACTCGCACTAATAGTACTTGCTCGATAATACTCGCTCGAATAGTAATCCGTATAGAGAAATAGTATAGAATAGAGTAGAGAATAGCGATCCGAATAGTAGTTTTCTCATATACTCTGTAACCACTTACGTCCTAGTGGCTTTATGGCCTTACTTGGTGTGAAATGATTGAAAAAATAACTTTATGAGAATTTAGAACGAAAACTTATATTCAATCTATGAAGTTTATTTTTATATTATGTTCAAACTTGGTTAATATCTCGTTTCAATTAATTCTTCTTCATTAATTCATCTAATGTTAATTTTTGATTAAACCTGAGTCACTGACTGTCATGAATTCCATGCAGACCAAGAAACTAGATGTGCAATCAAAGCTTTTCTCGAATAGGTCACATGATAAGGATAAACGGCTTTGAAATACTCATAGAACGAACTGTGAGCACGAAGGGTAAAGAAAGCAATTTATCGAATAGGTTTGTGTAAATTGATGACAAAACAAGGATAAGGAAGTGTAGTTACAAGTCAAACATTGCTTAGAGCTACAAGAAGCAGAGCGATTTAGAAAACCATGATTGCCACCATCTTGAAGGAAACGGCATGTAAATGGCGATGATGACGACTAGATAACTTACCTCTGTAACAATCAACTATAGAAATATGAAAACTTAAACCCAATGTATATTTCTTTAACAATCAAAATTAGCACAAAAAATTAATGAAATTAACCTATAAAATATTCCCCTTAGTGTTAAAATCGCCCCACAGAGCGAAATTCGGTTTGAGCTTCCCATGAGGCTACTAAAATCAACGCGCCTGAAAAAGATAAAAAGTACACCAGCAGACTAGTTTCGAAGGAAACAATCAAGATAAACACCCGAATTCCAAAATATCAATGTATGGAAAGTTCTTTATTTCAGAAATTCCGATAGTAATAACTATAACGATCAAAATGATGACACTAGTCCTTAATAAACTAATGCATAGTAATGAAACTTCATCTTGGAAATTCCAGTATCAATTAAACGAAGTCGAATCCCATTCATTTCCTCCGTATTCCAATCTATTTTGTTTGTGGAACAAACCCCCAAGTGAATGCTTTCCTTAACCTCTCCAGTTCCACGTCCAGTCGTTATCTGTCCTCATAATCTTCACTTTTTATCACTTATTCTTACATTCATATCACGCACCGCATTCAGTGACACTCTACCACGAGTTGCTCTTGAGTCTCGTATTGGGCAAACTTTATTATTAAAATTATTAATAAACTGTGATATTTTCTGTATCACCTATCAAGCGAAAACAAGAAGTTTTAAAATTAACAAGCGAATAGTACTCTGAATCATTCTACGTGGAATCAACCTACGTGGAATTGTGTTCGCAGAGACAACAGTTTGAAGAGTGACACATTGATCTGGTACATTGCTTAACTATACCCTGATTCTATGCAGAATTCCCGCAAAAAAAGATCCCATCATTTTTTCCTAGCAATACCAATAATCAAACTATCTAGCATGTTTTTTTTTAATAATTATTTCCTTTGACGAATTTCAGCTGAGACTAATTCATGGTTTTCAAAGATTTCATTCAAGAAGCACAAGATCACATGAGTTTCCATAGTGGGAATTGTAATAGATACTGACTTTCTAAAGCTTACATCTATATCACGTTGAAACATTAGTTCTTCTCTGGCAATCGAAGTTAAGTAACGTCGATCCTGGTCAGTAACTATATGGGTGATCGCTTGGGAATATCAAGTACAGTAAACATGGATGTGTGAGGGTCTAATGAATAACTGCACGGAATTGAAATTGGAGATCCGAGTTCGAATTCTAGTTGAGTTCGTTAAATTCACTTGCGAAAGGTATGAATCTGTCTCTTCTCTCCCCAGCTAAGGGTTAAATAGCAGGACAGGCTGGGACCGGAGAAACCAACGGCAGCCTACTGAAGGAATTCAGTCATGAAGGGAAAATGAGACATGATCGCACAAGTGTTTATTATTCATGACACCGAAGGAAGAAGAACCTAAAATAGATATGATTGCCCAAGTGTGTATCAGTCATGGCCTCTAATGAAAGAAGGAGAAGCTAAAAGAGATTATTAGTATTAGTACGAAGTTAAAACATCAGCCTCGACCAAATACATAACTCGTTTCAGTTATCTGACATTAGTTGCCCATAAATTTATTTTATTACTTAAAAAATGTCTATCATGTTTAAATACATGTTGATTTGTTTATACATATATTATTTTCTTTTTCTCTCAGCCTGATTTATTTCCGGGTAAAGTCGGTAGAAGTTTGCCTTTAGTTTCAATGGGTGCTGTCTGCCTTATATCCGGAATCCTGATTCAGTTCTTGCCAGAGACAAGCAACAAGGCCTTAGCGGACGACTTTGAAGAAGCCAAGACTCTTCACCTCGTGACAAGGTAATAATACGTTTGTTTCTATTTTAATAAATTTGGCCCTCTAAAAAATACCGTTGACAAGTACTAAACAGCAGTGAAATCACTCTTGGATGTTCATTTCGATTTAACAGATGTCATTTGCTATGTATTCTGGGAAAATATAGCGGATTAATTTCAGGGTTTTAAACTTCAAGGAGTCTTTCTGAAAGAGATTTCTGTCTGTTCTGCTTAGAAGTGAAAAGCTAGATTAAATGCCTTACCCAATAGCATTGTCATGAAAGTGAATGCAATATCAAAGTTTGAAATTTGAACTCAACTCGGTTTACTGATTTCAATTTTGGTACCAAACCATTACGGCACACACACACACACACACACACACACACACACACACACACACACACACACACACACACATATATATATTGTAATACTTCTCGTTACCATAAACATTTTAAACTCAAATTGTTTTCTTATTATTTCTAGATAGTCTGATTAATGGTTGCATTGAACAACGATATTGTCTTTCCATTTTCCTTTGCATTCGCTCTCATTGACTGTTCCCGGAAAAGACTCTTCAAGCAATTTCTTTTTCTACTTGTTAATTTTCATTATTTATAAGTTCAGACGTTATTTTGCTTATAAATTATGGATCATTAATTATGGTACTTTTGCTATATTTCAGATGCGAGACTGACAAGGATTTAAATGCGTCTATACCTTTTAAGACACAAGAATCCAAATGTTAATATCCTAAATAAATAGTACTTAAAGGGAAGTTGGAAGTTATATTCGGATGCTCCAGGATCGATCAATTTTTTTAGGAATTTTATGTAATTGAATGGCATCATGCTAAAGTATTTAATGATCTGTGATGATTATATGAATCCTCCATTCCTGGTCGAATTAAGAAAGACTAAAATTCATTTACTATCATTCAAACGATCTTATATTTCCAAAATTAAGTTCTTCCATAGCCTACATCCACTCTCTCTCTTGCTTTCTTGTACACACACGTATATATATATATATATATATATATATATATATATATATATATATATATATATGTGTGTGTGTGTGTGTGTGTGTGTGTGTGAAAGATGCGAAACGCTTGCGCATGCTATAGACCAGTTAATGATCCTTGTTACAGATCAAGTTGAGTGGTTTAATTTCACTCTTTTTTTCAGGAATGAAGCTTTAACATAATTTACAATCGGACTGATGTCCTTATCTTTGCCGTGAGTGTCAAAACGTTTCGGCCGATGTGCTCTTTGGCCTTCTTCAGGTGTCTGTTGATCCCGGTAACCTTCAAAGAATTTCGAACTAAACCCTTTATTAATCTGGTCCACTGTCCATGTCTAATTTTTTTCTTTATTTTTGTATTGCTCAGTTATTGCTGGTCTTTTTATCAGAAGCTGTCCGAGTACTCTTGGAAAAAAAACCCAAAACGGTAGTGTGGGGTGCAACCTTGACGCCAAGTCTTTACCAGCAGCAGTAGGAATAGAGGATTCAATAAGAAACGCGTTTCACAAACCAAGAGGATAAAAGCGTTGTTTTGCGAATTTGCTGGCATAGGAATTGGGAATTCAGTCTCTGGGCTGGGGTATACAGATCTACACTTCAACTCATTGAAAATTGAAATGAATATAATTGGGTAATATTAAACAAATAAGAGCAAGACGTGATGCCCCTTTATTATAGAAATTGAAATGAGAACAAGACATTGACTTACATTAAATAAAACTATCAGTTCGAAATACCCTGAAACTTACCCAGAAAGACAAATCCCTGAAGAAGGCCGGAGGGGAGAGAAATCTGAAGAATATCGAATATTGTAATATATTATTAAATACCTAAGTATGTTTACATGTCATTCAGTATAGATGCTCAATTCTGCTGCAACAATTGCCACATCATGAATATTCCTGCTTGGAATTGGGAATTGAAAGAATATAATATATATATATATATATAGTATCATGGCAAAGATAATTTCGGTAATTGTGATTGGCAACATCATTCTTCAAAGTACCTCATTTAGAAAAAAGTAATATAATAAATTCTCAAACTGGACGCTAGGCATTCCATTTAAAACAGTTTATCAAATCTTGAGTATACTCTCTATATTTTTATTTCAGTAGTTACAGATAGCAAACAATATTGCATCACTTTCGAAATTCATTGTCCTAGAGTAAAATAAGCTTCGTAAATATGTATACGATACTTATGCTCTGCATCAGTTTTGAATTCTACTGATTTAATTTGTAAGAAAATAAAATCTAATATACAGAAATCTTCGTCGTTGTTTTAATCACTATTCAATTATTACTTATCATTTCTAATTGCAATGAATAAAATCATTAGCAGGAATGAGAAGAAAACTAAAATAATGGGCATTCTGAATGAACAGAAAATATTCACTGATTCGTTTTCTTCGGTTTTTCAGCCCTTTGCACATGATTTATAGCCAGAAAATATTTTGGAGATAATTATGATTTAGTTATACGCGTCATATTAATTAACACTTAGCTGGAAGCAGAAAAAGTGGTTTCATACTTTTCCCAAGGGTATTTGTGCAACTGAAACTCAGATCTCCGTTTAACAATTACTAGCCATTATCCATTACACCATCTCATCTTCAAGGTTATAGCATTTGGTATTCCTAAAGTCACCCATCAAGTCGCAACATCGCTTAACTTATACTATTATTGACCTAAGAGCTAAAATAAACATCTACACTTGGAGAGATGTCAAGAATCAGGTTGCTACTCTATTTAATAATGGTAAATCAATAATGAATACTGTGGCTGTGTAATCATCGCTTCTTCTCAGCTAATGTCTTTATTTGATTGCTATCGATCTTAAACAGTATTGCCGATCACCGAACATTTTTCAGCGAGAAACTTCCATTGTAAATAAATTTTATTATCTTTTAAGCGACTCATAAGAACCTTTTTGTCCCACCATGGAAATGCAAGATATTTCTGCTTTTATGCTTTTCCGAGAAAGCGTTCGTACAAAGTGAACAGATCCAATTCGAAACTGATTCCCCGATATTCTCATTATTGTTAGAAATAAAATATCGGGGAATAAGATTCGAATTCAATTTTTTAGAATACACTAATGCTTTCTGTGAAATGCAGAAATATCCTACATTTTCATGGTATAATACCATAGTTTCATGATATAATACGATGGTTATGTTAAAAAAAAGGTTTGTGAAGAAAACGGTTTGAATTGCAGAATTTTCTCATTGAAGTGTTAAGAAAATTGCTGCTAATCGTATAAAAGAATCAAGATGTTTTACCTTTTTGCCTGCAAGCATCATCAAAAGTGTTTTCCACGGATCTGTTGCTTGTTCCAGGATGAAAATCAAAAACCAAAACACCAGTTAAAATGCAGACAATATATATCATGAACAGAGGTAAAAATTTAAATTAACTGTAGCTTGAAATTCAAAGTAGAAGTTAAAATAAAATGAGAAACTCCTTTAATTCAAACCGTTTTCTTTACAAACCTTTTTAACATATTCGGCTACATATCTTTTCTTCTTCAAAAGCAGCAAATATTTTCTTTCTTCATTGCGTTTCAGTCTTATTTTCACATTTCATAATATAAGTAAACATACATTTCTTATTTTGTTCCAATCTTACTGTTAAAATTAATAATTGGAAATACGCCAATTTGGATATTTAGAAAAAATAACGCTGAACGGGTAGATATTGCAAGAGTAATCAAAGAACATTTAAATATAACTATTCATGCAAAAAACAAGGCAAGTTTTTGGTCACATGGTTGATTCTTTATGGTTACAATTTCATTCAAGTTAGCTAGACTCTATTGTCTATTGTTTTATTCTATGTTCGCTCTAATTCGTAACTATAACAAATTCAAAATGCCTTATCATATTACAATGGAAGGGAATGAACATGCTATTTAATACGCTATGCACTACTCATATTATGAAACACTTGGATCATACAACTTTTACTTGGTTTTCGGTCTTTTTGTTCATGGTCATCTACAAAAATTTTCAAACAGGCTTTTCATCTAGAAAATATAACGTATGGAATATTGTATTTATTGTATTGTAGTTATTGCACTTTCTATAGAGTATACCGCATAAAACGAAAAAAAAAAAAAACTTAATATTACAGCAGGGCTGAATCTATGATGCAGCATCTCCAAATCTATGTTACTGCCCACCCAATCTACTACATCTCAAATTTTCATATTTTTATATAGCATACACATTTTATTGTAATCTAATAATGTACACTAATGGATCATATGCAATATATGTGAACTATTCATTTAGAAAAACTGAATATAAATATGATTTATCTAAATACAAATTCTAGACATATGATAGATATTTCCATCTTAAATAAATCAACAATGGTTTGCGGAGATTTTTAACAACAAATTGATATTTTTCTTGCTAAAAGGTTGAATTTTATCACACTCAACATTATGGATATCCCCCCACCCCCCAAAAAAAACCAGTCACATTTATATAGTGATTTTTTTGTGATTTACCATGAGCAAAACAAATTCACGGATTCGGACGAGAACCCCCCTCCCTCCACCAAGAATGACTTTAACATCTGCGAAAAGTTTTCATCCTTTAATAATCAGTTGTGCTTAGTTTAATTTGTAATTTATTTAAATGTAAAAGTGGGAAAAAAAAGAAAATGTTGATAAAATAGCGAAGGTCACAAAGCACTTCCCGGGGGTCCCCAATCTGGCTCCCAAGTTTCGGGGAGATTTGGTGTCGCGCGCGTCGGCTCTTTATAGCTGAATAGATTATATAGATTATAACAAAGATGTTATGAAATGACCAAGTAAAACTAGATTTCCATGTTATAAATTTCAATTTATTCCTCTTCTTTTCATGAATTAAAATGTCAGACACATTTTTAATTTTTCAATTCACTTTATGTAATGGAAAAATGCAACTAAATAAAGTCAAATTTTCAAAGATTATCTTCCCGACTTGAGGGTTTGCCGTTGTAATCCGCTAATCAATGGGATTAGATAATTCTGTTGAATTTATTGACGGATATCATGCAATATATTCTACTAAATTTGCTAACGTGGTATATGATAATAGATTCAGTTGGAACGGATACCAGAAATATTGGAGAAAAAAAGATTGATAGGGTAGGAGTTTTTTGTTAGCTGGTTTAATTTTGCTTCTTTTTGTTGTGATTTCCATGAGATATGTTTTGAGGAGAAAGTAAAAGACCACCATAATTGTCACTGTCTGTCGTCAGTGGTAATACAAACCAGCCAATGCGTGGCTGAGAGAAGAGCAAAAAATAGTCTAAGGGTTACCCACCGGAAATGCACGCAGGGGCAACTAACCATGCGCGACATGACACTATAAATACCCCAATATTATGCATCTATTGAACGGAGCTGCATTTCTAAGTGCTACCCAAGATTCTGGCCTCCTTACGATCAGTCGGAAGTAGCAAACCGCTACCCTCATAATGGAAAGTCACAGCCATTGGTTAGTATGATCGCCAAAAAGTTAAGACAGTTAAACTATTTCTTTAATTTGACATGCCTCCCCATTGTTCCACGCCCTTGGAATACCTGCAGCAATGCAGTGGGATCCTCTTTTCTTAACTCACCACCAATGGTTAATCGTCTCAGTCGCACTTGTTTCTTTAAATGCCACTTTCAAAGACGCAGGCCGCCTCCTAGACATATCCTTTCTTAAATGACGATATCGAAGAGA